GGAGTCCACAACGGAAGGTGACATCCGGGACCACAGCCCAGAGGCGGCTGTAGAGGTGGATGTAGCAAACGGGACAACGCAGCAGCCTGGAATTACAGAATCTGGCGACGCACCAGAAGACGAGAGAGATACGGTTTGCTCGGGGGCCGGCCTCGTGGCAACTGACGTCTTATCCCCCGTCTCCAGCTCTGACTCAGACACTGCGAGTTCCACGTCCATGGAGGAGGAGACGTGCGACCAGGCCCTTCCCGACGGATTTGAGGCACTGCGAAATGTCAAATCGACAGTCGTGCATCTGCACAGGCCAGGTGCGGTGTCTCTGAAGTGCGGTCCAGTTGTGACAGAGAACTTTTCTCGAGTATCCCATACTCTTGAAGGTTCAGTTTTGTGTAAACGATGTTTTGCACAGGCATGATCGGTAAAACAAAGAGCGACGGAAGGATGTGCATCAGTGTCTGAGAAGCTTCAGCATCGCCTCTCCGAGCTCTCGCCCGGGCCCGAGGTTAGAAATAGTGTCTGTCGAGCAATGGCTAGCGCAGCAGACTCGGAGGCTTTCTTCAAGGAACATGCGGCCAGAGTAGGTATGGCTGAGGACGTGATAAACAAGCTAGTGGCACAAGGGATCAAGACGGTCAGCCAGGCAGCTTATGCAGCGTCTCCGCCGGGACAACCGTTGACAGATGCATCGGTTGAAGCCCTCTTGACAAAAATAGGTGCTGCCAATCCGACTCTGGCGTTGGTGACCCAGGCGAAGCGGCTCCTCTTCGAATCGCAGACCATGGCTTTGTCTCATTTGAAGTCGGTTGTAGAACAGAAACCGGAATCGATCGCCCGGCATATGCCTGGGGCTGAGCGCCATACGGTAAATAATTTAAATCATTTACATAATGAATGCTGAAGGGTTCCTGGGGGCAGCTGCCCGGGCCTCCCCCCAACACTAAATTACGAGCCCGGGCCTCCCCCCAATGCTAAATTACGAGCCCAGGCCTCCCCCCAATACTAAATTACGAGCCCGGGCCTCCCCCCAATACTAAATTACGAGCCCGGCCCTCCCCCGGAAGGGGCCAGTCCCCCCCCCCCCCTTTCGCCATTTAGATTAGTTAAATTATTCAAACTATGCATTTTATTTAAATTATTTACATTGCTTGAATTATTTAGATTTTTTTAAATTATTTAAATTATTTAAAATTATTTAAATTCACCGATTTTGGATGATTCGAAGGATTTAAATATTTGGCGTCCCCCAAACATTTAAATTATTCAAATCATTTAACCGTGGCTCTGTTCTCATTGTGTCTTGTTCCGTGGGTTTCCATCACTGCCCTCTTGAGGTAGACCTGCGAGATAAGGGCAGCGACTCGGTTTCGACGTTGTCTTGATCCTGAGGCTCTTTTTGACCTTTACCCCGGTTGGTAAAGGATCCACCAAGGAACCGGCCAATGACAAAGCATGACAAAAGCAACAATCGACAACGTGTAAAAGGATGTAGGGTTGAGGGTTTTGGGGTGTTGCACTCAGCCAAGGCTTGTGTGCGAACCTTCCCCCTCGACCCAAAGGAGGGAACAGAGGCGAAAAAAAAAATCAGCAAAATCAGCCCGAGAAAGGGAGGAGCCCCAGGATGCCCCGGACACAACCCCCCCCCCCCCCCCGAGCCCTATCTTCCCAAAAAACTTTGGTTGCGCCAGCGGCAACATTGAAGGGACATGTTTGAGATCCGCAAGCTATATTCTGGGTTTAGGGTTGAGGGTTTATGTGAGAAAAAAAGTGTTCTTTTTCGCGTTTCTTGTGGACTGGCTTTCAAAAAGCAGTGCCGGGGCCCAAGATGATCCCGTTCATGTCGACATGTCGTCATAGCAAACTGCCCTAAGCGTGGCACGCATGGTGAGCACATTATATTCTGGGGGAAATCGTTTTTCGTGCGCGGGGGGGAGTGGGGGGGGGAGGGACGTCGCTTTTCTTGCGTGGGGGGGGGGATTCCCTCATCAGATTCCTTCATCAGACTCAGTACATGACTCGGTATTCAGGTATATGAAACTTGCGCTTTCGAAGCTTGCATTAAAGCTCCTTGAAGCCCTGGAGGCTTGAACATCATAGAATCCGATATTTGTGGGACCTAAGCTTTCAGAAGCAGAAACAGAAATGTCTGGAGCTCCTCTCGGCTCGCCTGTTCTTAGGCTTCTGGTAGGTCCTCTTGCAGTGCCTCAGTGCCCTCCGATTGCGATGAAGCTCGCTTTGCTCGTTCTTGGTGAGCTGGCGGAGAGCCTCCTGTTGCCAGACATCGTAGGCGGGGACATCCGTCAGTGAAGCCCAGAAGCGCCTGATAAAAGAACCCAGACCGGAAGAGCCTCTGAGCTGTGCAGGTTGGAGCGTCGAGCTGGTGCAGGAGCCGTTCCTTCCAACGGTGTCGGAGATACAGGAGATGGATGCAGAGGCGACCACAGCCAGGCCCGCCATGGGTAAGCCTGTGACATTGTGATGTTGCGGGGTCTCCAGGTGGCTGGGGAAGTGTGTAGCCTAACTGTGTACCCTAAGCCCTAAGCTAAACCCTGCCCATGAGATGGCATTTCTGGGTCTTCGTGATGCTGTGCATCGTCACGGTCACCATGATGGTCGGCACTTTGGTCTTGAAGTGCGCCGAGGGCCAAGAAGGCGGAGCCTGGGATGTTTGGGGCTGTGTGTCCACGTTTCTTGTTCTCAGTCGGAGTTCCATTCTCCCACCTTGTTCCGTAGTCCTCGCCGGAACTTCAAGCCTGTAGGCGAGGGATTGTGCTATGTTTGTCGCAGGGTGCTGTGTGTGTTTTTGGGGTGTCTCTTTGGAGAGCTTCTGCAAGAGTCGAGTTACGGCGCTGTTCAGGATTCGGAGTGCAGGGCGGGCGGACCCAACCGGGGAGTGGAGTGGAGGTTGTGTAGCGATGTAGCAGTGCGTAACTCCGATGCGCGTGAACGCGGTCTGATTCCTTTGATACTGTATGTCACTGTCTCACATCTGGTCTGCATACGCTGTTCGTGCCGACATTTGCCAACCCAAGTGAAGCCACCACGACTTCCGAGTGGATGGAATGGGTGAAACCACTTTGCGCAGGTGTAATTGTGCTGGCTTGTCGAGGGGCTTCCCAAGACTAAGCAAGACTCAAGGCCCTCATGGATCGGTGTGCCAGGCGTCTAAGCTTTGAGTCGCTCCGACTTTCAGGCTACACGAGCATCAACGGAGGGTCCGTCGCCTTCAAGGGGAAGACGCTGAAGGTGGGGTGCATGGTGGTGTTGCAGTTTGTAAGCTTCCGCTCCAACCTGGGTGCTGCGGGTGCCCCTCAGAGCCTCGTCGGACCCAGCAAGGGTGACGGTCGTCGCGCGACACAGATACTGCGACATGGTACCTCGTGCCATGGCCCTTTGCTTCTGGTGTGTAGAAGGAGCATGAATCTACTTCTTTGGGCATCCCCCATTCTCCTGGGAAGCCGTTCTCCCCAACCGCTTCAGTTTTTGCGCCACTACGCCCATGCCCATGCCCTAAACCCTACACCCTAAACCCTACACCCTAAACCCTAAACCTTAAGCTGTAAACCCAAAACCCCGAACCTCACATGGGTTGGCGGTCTCTTTAGGTAGGGTTTCTGCGTTAAAGGGGCATTTTTTTCAGGGTTCTTATTATTCGAGTATCTAGGGCTATATGAAGGTATAAGGGCAACAGATAAAAGGCCACCGACCTTATATAACCCAAACCCCCAAACAGTTGCAGAGGTCCTCCTAGCCCTGTCGTTGACTTGCACGATGTCAGCGAGCTGTGCTGCCCTGGTCTGGAGCTTTCAGAGCAGCAGGCCGAGTGCATTGGATCTTGGGTTCTGTTGTACCCCACCCCCCCCAGAAAGACCCAAAACACCCTGAAATCCCTTAAAACCTAGACACCTCAGTGCCAACCTGCGGTTCTTGAGCGCAAAGCTCATGAAACCTGAAGCCTGAAGCCTTCTCATCGAAGCCTGCGACCCTTTTTGCCGAAGTCTGGCAGGCTCTCCAAGGACACCGGAGTTGACTGGGAAGCAACCTGGTGAGCGAAACAGCCCCCAACAATTTATAGTTTGTTTTTTTTGAATCTACTGTATGGTGCTTGGTGGAGCAGTTCATATCACCCCCCACCCCAGGTCCTACGAAAGGGGAGAGGGGGACTTCACATGCCTTCATGCCGTATGGTGCTGTAAGTTGCTGAAGTGGTTTAGATCCGAGGAGAAAGAGTGCGAGGCTCTTCGAAGTACTCGTAAAGGCTCCCAAAGGCCCCATCAGGTCCCAAGACGCTCACATGCACTTCAAGCCTAGCACCATTTGCTCTTCAAGGGAGGCTTATGAGAGGGTCGGAAGCCCCCTGCGATCCCCTGCGATCCCCTGTACCGAGGTCTACGCTGGCCTGCTCCTGTGCAATGGGCTCTCCATGGTACGCGCAGCTCAAGAAGGGGACTATAGGAATAGACTCAATAGACAGATGTTTTGCATGTGCCACCATGCCAAGTGCCCTGATGTGATTGGCCTCGCGAGTGGCGGGTGTGCATGGGTGCGCATGTCAACAACACCTGCTCCTGTACATCCACAAGAGCGATGTCGGGACGGCTGCGTTGATAGACCACACATGCCCACGCTCACGAGCCTGTCCCTTTCCCGCCAAAATGTTCCATCGAAGCCGCATGTAGTCCCCCGAAGAAGCACCGTAATTGCCCCACGTTAGCCATCGTTCGCCCCGGGAGCTGCAGGTTCTACAGGCGCTCGTGATGGCGTGTCGCCTCCCTGCGGGCAAGCGGTACGGCACCACCGCCTTCGCGCAGGTACGGGGGTAGATCACGGTGGGCGGAATGTTTAGAACCAGCTAATCTATTTCAGTGAGACAGGTCGGATATGGTCGGATCGAAAAACCATTCCAAGGCACCCAAACTAAGACCTGGGATCTTAGGATCACCCGACCCGAGGCCAGCAGAAAATCATGTCTTCAAATCCCAGGCCCTTCAGGGCACACCCCAATGGCCTTCCCGCACCAGCTGACACTGAGCCTGGCCTTCCTGCCGCAGGCCTGTCTTGCGGGAATGTCGCCGATCCTGTCCGACCACTACGACACATTCAAGGTCTGCTCGCGTGGAGGGGGGTGGTTGCCCAGGGGGTGCTAAGGAGCTCAAGCCCGAAAGCCCTTAAATCCCTTAAGCCTCAAAGGCGAGCATGTCGGAGCATGACATTCGGACTGTGACCCTAGACCATCCTAGACCCCAGCATCCTTTGGGCCTGGCAATGCTTCGCTCAGGATGTCATGTTTGCCTTTATCTGCTTCCAGTCCGAGAAGGAAGAGGTCCAGAACATGGGTGGGGCCTGCCTGGCCTACCTCGTGATCATCCATGTCTTCTGCTTCTTCGTCGAGGCACCCGGGCCGCCAAGCTGCCGGCAGAGAACCCATCAAGCAGCGCAGAGGGTAGCCAGAACCGGATCCCGTACAGGATTTGACGACGGAGCTGCTGAGCTCACACCTGGCAGTGCTCCTGCTCACCCCTGACGCAGGCAAGGCGCTAGGATCGGACTTTCTGGATGTCGTGAGTGTTCTTCGCTGTTCTTCAATGAGGGGGGGTGGTGTGGGCCCGGAGGAGACAGTGTGAATCTGGGTGAAGAGCTGTTGATTGTCCTCTACAAGCAGCTGACTCCTACGAAAAGGCGGGCGGGACGGGCACTGAAAGGGGTCGCATTCCGTGACGTTCAGACAGTCAGACATAGAACAGCGAGGGACCAAGAGTGTATTACATAATTTGCACGAAGATGGGCACATAACCCATAAGGTCAGGCGCAACCCTTCTTGGAGGATGCGTTTGGCCTGTCGAGGGCTTGGTCTGACCCAGCCACGTTCCCAGGTTCCTTCTTCTTCTGGAGAACGTGCCGCAGGCGCTCGCCGCGCTGTTCTACTTGCGGCGCGAGGGTGGATCCACCGTGGTCGCCGCGCTGAATTTGGCCATCCCCACCATACAGGCTGGGAGGGTTTGATCGCAAGGGAAGCTTGGTCAATCTTGCAGCTGCTTGCAGAACCCTTCACGCGCAGCCCCGGCTGTTTAAGCTAACGTCTAACGTCGAGCTGTTCGAGCCATCCCCTGCAGGTCCTAGTGACGTTGGTCCTTTTTGGCCCCGTTCGAGCGCAGGTGCTGGGAGTAGAGGGTTGAGCGTGCTAGAGCATGCTTGAACAAGAGTATGGAAGAGTAGTAGGTGGTAGTGAGCAGCAATGGGTTCCAGTCATTTTCTCTTCCCATCCTTGTTTACAATGTTTTTCCAGGTGGCCGGCTATTACGGCCGGAAGCTGCGGACCCTGGTCGCGTCGCTCGCGCTCCGTTCAGTATTGGGGCTTGGCTTGGGAAGCAGTGAGTAGTGCGTGGTCTCTTGGGATCTGGCAGTTGGCATTCGAACATCTTGCGGCTGCTTGCTCTGAATGGTGGTTGAGAGGGCTCCCAGCATGTCAGAGTATATGTAGGGATAAGATGGCTGAGGAGGACATGGGGAGGGTCAGCTCACCCTCTCAGTTCTGGGCAGTTCTTGATATCTCGAATGACGATTCTTTGCTTGCGAGGCATGATCAGTTGGATACTGGTAGGGCCTGGTAGGGAGCAAAGACAGCTTGGGAGTATATCCGGCAGCTCGGGGGCACAAGGAACGCACCACATGCCAAAGCAAGCCGAACTGAAAGCAAGAGCCAAGCCTGGGCCAAGCCAACACCAAGCGGGAGTTGCAACATGGGATTCTTTTGTCAAGTTTCAGAAGCATGACTCTTGACTTCAAGCCAGGGATAACAAGGCAATCAACAAAATGAAGATGTGCGTGTCAAAAAGTGCTCAAGAACCCAAAGCAGCATACCGTAGATGACCCCAACACGGAGAGTCTTCAAGGCGTTGACTGCATCGAAAGCCTCGTGCCCCCCAAGAAGTGGGTGGTTTTCGACGGGAGCCAAGAGGACCCAACGCCTTCGAGCACCCAAAAAACGCGCCTGAAGAACCCTGCTCCGGAACCACCGGAGCGGACGCCCTTGCTCCGTGAAATCCAAAGACTGAGCTCCCCAAACCCCTAAACCCAATCAATGCCTTAAATAAATTCGAACCGCAACCCCAAGCCCCAAGGCCTCTAAGGCCGAAACCCCAAAGCCTCCACATCATCCACATCCCTCAACCCAAAGCAAACCTGCAAGCCAGCTGCCAAGGCAGCCCTAAACCCTCAACCCGAAACGGCCCTGAAGACCCTAAAGGCCCTAAAGGCCCCAAAAGGCCCTAAAGGCGCCTAAAGGCCCCTACAGGCCCCTACAGGCCCCTAAAGGCCCTAAAGGCCCTAAAGGCCCTAAAGGCCCCAGAACCGGGCTCAGGTCTGGAAATGACATCATGGCCCGGCGCATCTGGCGCGAGGCATCTCGGGGAGGTTTCGCTGGAGTTTCGGGGTCTCTTCGGGAATTTTTTGAGATTTCAGGGCTCTCTTCGGGCTCTTGGGGCTCTTGGTAAGCAGCTTTTCTCCCAACAGCACAATCCACTTCCTTTATGACGTCAAATCACCTTCAAGTACAGGAAACCTTAAATTTGGCTTTGGCTTCTGGCCAACAATTCAAAGTCTGAGATCCTATTTTCTGACATTAAAGACTGTCCCATTACTTCCTTGGGCTTTCTTGATTACAGCTTTCATTGCTGTTATTTGCTTGTTCTGGGCTTGCGCTGCCAGGCCGACTTTGAGAAGGACGAGGGCCTGAGTCCGGGTTGCACTATCTTTCCTTACAGAGGTTCGGCCCGGTCGGGTTTCCTTCCCGAACCGTTCCCGTCACAACGCCGACAACCCCGAAAACATCCGAAAACCCTCTGGCCTACTGTTCGTGCCTTCGGGCGCGTTCAGGACGGGCCAGGGGAGGCATTATTGGCCTCAGGTATCTCAGAGCCCTTCCGTGGATGCATCCTGCGCACGACTCCGAGGCCTGGGTGGCAGGGAAGGGGTGTCTTGTTGAGAGTCTACAGTCGGGTTTCTACCGGGCCTGGTTTCTGTGACGTTGTGCAGACGTTGTCCAGATGAAGTGCCTCCAGGGCCGTGTCAGACTCTGTGGAATCGCCTCTTGTGAGTCTGCAAGGCATGTCTTTTAACGACACGCCAGAAGGCAAAAAGCGCGCGTGGACACACTCGGGTTTCGTAATCAAAGACAGAGTTGAATAGCAGGACAGGCGCTGACAGAGGAAGCAAAGCTCCCGCAGACAAGCAACACCAAGAGCGATCCAGCGAAGTAAGGGGAATCGAACAAGCCTTATTCTCGCGGAATACTAAATGCGCACGAAAACTCATACTTTATTGGGGCGCAAATTCTCTTTTCGTTTCGTTCATTTCATGTGGCCTTTTTCGTGCCTTATGTTCATGCCTTACAAAAAGCCCATATTAAATTCTCTTCACAGTTATAGTCATGAGTGAACAGCGTGAACGTAATGAGTTAGTGAGTGTACGTGTGGAGGGAATGATAGGGGCTTTGGGGCATATTATCATTACAGGTGTACGAACTCAATGTCATGAAGGTGTGCTCACTAAGCCCCAAAGTACGGCCATGAACTGTTATTAACTGAACGGTGAGACCGGAACAAGATTAAGGTAACAAAGTCATGAATTAATGCCGTCCTAAAGTTGAAGGTGGCAAGAACGAAGACGAAGATTCAAGAGTCTTTTATCTGTTCATGAAATACTCAATCATATGTTCTCTTCGCTCATGAGATATACGAACAAGGCACATCATGCTCGTTGGCACACCGCCCGATTCCAGTCGTAGCCCATGCCATAATCGTCGTGCGACATTGTATATCCTGACTTCTGCCCGAGGCATTCATGTTTGGCGGAGGTGGTGTAAGGCTCTTCATGCTCTTCATACTCTTCATTGCAAGACCCCCAACCGCGGTGTCTCTCGCCCTTTGAGGTCCTGATGCTACGTGCCCAGATGCTGCGTGGACTGTGGAAGGCCACCGTGGCTCCGGAGGAGCCTTACCTCAATTCACAGCTGTCCCGACTGTTTGTGGCCACTGTTTGTGGGAACCTATCGTGAGTGGAGGAGTGAAGATTCCTGCGAGGGCTGTAGGCACCGTGCGTGAAGCTGTCTCCAGGTCCAAGATGTTGCCCAGGACTTTGAGAAGACGGAAGGAGACCTCCAGAATTTGGGCATTGGAGCATCAGGCCTTGTCCAGGTGCCAGGGGCCTGGGGGCCGAGGGGGCCTGTGCCGGGTTTGCCATGTTCTCCTTGTCAGAACGTCGCACAATTCAGAGTGTGGAGAAATTGCGTTGCCTGTCAGGCCCTGTGCTCAGCCCTCGAGAAGGGAACTTTTACAGGAGAGGAGCTGAACTTGAATAACAACGGCCTCCAGGATGAGCACATGAAGGCGAGGCGAGAGACATGCGCTGGCCTTTCTGCCCCAGCCCCAAAATGGGGACGTCAAGGGAAATTTACGACTCGCGGTCGTCTTTCAGGGCCTAGAGTCTAGAATTCAAAGGCCAGGTCGCTCTTGACTGTCAGGCACTCTGCGCCGTCTTCGAGAAGTGCAGCTGCCTGAAAGACGTGCAATCCCTCAGCTTTCGCAACAACTCCATCGGGCCAGATGGCGCCAAGGCATGATGAAGGGAGCGTCTGCCGGCGTCCTTGGTCAGTTAGTTTGTCGGGGGCCTTTCACGGTGGTCTGATGTGCAGAGGTCCCGTCGCAGTGAAGGCCATCTCGGGGCCAATGCTGTTTTCAGCCGGCTCCTGTATAGGCCTCGCCCTTCCAGGGGCTTCTGAGAGGCTTTCGGCGAAGACCAAAAACTCGAGAAAACGGAGTACAGCTTTTCGAAAGGCGTGAACTGGAAGGAGGGTGTGGCAAGACAACATGAGAACACTATCGATCGCACGGAGCTGAAGCTACGTACGGGCTCGCTGCCTGAGCGTTTGACGCATGCGGCGGCCAAGGGTCCGAAACTGGCGTGTTCGGTGCCTGAAGACATTTCCATGTCGAGTAACCCAAGGGTGGATCCTTCCCTCCTTCTTGTAAGTTGGGAAATGTTGGGAACATGGGGCACCATCACCTCCTGGAGTGGGTGGCGCTCTCTTGGGGCGACGTCGAGTCCAGTCATCGAACATTGTGACAAACTCAGACGCAGTATTTGGTCCCAGTATTGTCACTGGCAGGTCCAGGAGTCTAGGCCGTAGTCTCTAGGGAATGGCAATACTTCAGCCTGATGCCAGGCCATCTGCCACGTGGTTGCGCAGAGCAGCATCAAGCACCTGGACCTGTCTGGAAACGGAATCGGAGATGAAGGCAGTAACGTGGTGACCTCAAAGCCTGATAAAGCAGCAATAAGCAGCATCTTGTTCCGGAAGATGCCAAACCGACATAAGGCCATTGCCAAGTGCATCGAGAAAAAGCCAGACTTTGAGAACCTCGGCATCGAGTTCAACAACGTCACCGACCAGGGCGTCGAGGCGAAGGGATGTGCCGAACAGAAACGGAAAAAAGGGACATAGCAGGCACATGGCAACGTATAGCGACGTTGGGTGTATTCCACCTCCTACCGAACTTTTACCTCCTTGAGGCTGACTCTAGCTCCAGCTGGAGCTAGACATGCATCTTCGTTTTGGTTTGTCTGTCTTTGGATGTAGCCCGGCACGTCTTCGTGAAGGCTTCATGGCTGGACACTGGTTCGGTGGCAACTGTGAGTTGTTGTACTTTGCGGGTTCTTGTTTCGGGGTGCTTCAAAGTTGAGGATGTTGAGGCTAGACGGGAACCCCGGACAGCAGCCAATTTCGCCCATTTGCAGAATTTCGTGGGTTTCCTGAAATTAAGTGCATCCTTGTATGGTCCTCAGATGCCCCATTGTGTTGCGCGCTTAACTCTCAACTCCCAAGACCTTGAAGCCCGTCTTGGGAAGCCTCATTAAAGGTCTGCACGTCTTGGAAGGAACATCGGAGACTTGCGCAGCAGCTCATTCAGCAGCTCAAAACAGCTCATTGGTCCCTAATCTTTTCACTCCAAGAACATCTGAGATGCAGAGCCTTCAACTCCCCGGAAGCTCCGTGACCAGGCACTGACCAACATGCTCCAGAACACTGCGCTGCAGAACCTCTGGCTGGGGTTCAATAAACTTAGTGATGCTGGTCAGAAGGCGGGGGGGGGGGGGTTTGCCGCATGTTGGCGCTGTGTTGGTGCTGTGTTGGTGCCTTGGCACAGCTGGCTTCCAAGAAGTTATGCGCAGTCGAGAGAAGGGTCGAGCCCGTTGAGAGCGCTGCACATGGAGGTCCTTGAAGGATACCAGCAAGTCGACATGCCTGACCAGGCACTGGTGTGTTGTTATCTTTAGTGGTGGTGCTCGCAGTCGCCGTGCCTGCCAAAGGCGTACGCCCAAAATCACGAAACGCCCAAATTGCAGAACTTGAGTTGTTTTGTGGTGTTTTAAACTGTGGGTTGAATCATGCCATCACACCACTTCGTGGGTCTACCCCCTCGGCTGTTCCCGAAAAAGTGTGTTGCCAGCTGGGCAACAATAGGTTCCGTAACCATTGCCTCCTGTTCCGGGAGCGCTGCCTCTTCCCTCTTTGGAAGTCTAAATGCTGCGCCGTACGTCGGTGGGTTACCGGGGCGAGAATGCAGGCGGCGGAGCATCCTGTGTTTCGGGGCACAGCATCATTTCCTACCGCAAGGTTAAGTCCTAGGTGCACATATGCTGCTGATAGGAAAAGTTGCTGTGTTCCGGCGTTCTTCGCAGTTGGGCGATGCATTGAAAACATGCTGATTCGCAGTACCAGCCGCCGTCCAAGCCCATCTAGCAGCATTGAGACAGCATTCTGTTTCGACGTAGCATTTTTCGGATCTTCACCAATGTCCTAATTTTGAAGACTACTTACTACTGTATAGGGCAGACAAACAGTCAACAGTCTGTTCATGTTTGCGAAGCCAGCGCAAGACGCCGACACGAATTGTCACAAGATGCACAGCGGGGACATGCGGGGACATACCTGCAGCAAGAAGCCTTGAACGCACGCACGCAGGTGCCACAAGAGGACCGTATTTAGGAGTACCTGTTATTGTTGTTGGCGCACATTGAAGATCCTTCAGACACGCGGTTGGGCTAAGCAGGCAAGTGGGAAGCTAGGGAAACCCAAGGAAACCCTGCGGACAGGACGCTGAAATGCTGCCTTGGAAGCCCTGAGCCCAAAAAGGGCTGTGCCTGTGCGTACGAATCGGGACGGAAACATGCAGTGTGCGCCTTGGCGCACCTTTGTGCACCTTGGCCGCGCAAGCGCGTGCGCAAGCTTCGACGCGCCGCCCAAACGGCCCTGGCCATCCTGGAAGTTCGAAAGTCCTCTGATGCCTTGGCCTTCCCTGTGCCCAAATGCAGAGGGCGAGTCCCTAAAACCAGCAGCTCAGGCCCGCCGAAGTATGCCAGCGCCCAACCCCCTTTGAACGCCTTTCGAAACGGCTTCCTGAGCTCCTTCTAACCGGCAAGTTGGCACCCATATCGAGGCCACATACGCCAGAGCCGCGAACGCCTTCTAGCAACCCTTCAAAACCGTTTACTCAAAACCCCTTGTGAGACCCTTCAACATGCTGTCGAGTTACCACCCTAACTGAGCCAAATCACCTTTTTCAACCCTCCGAAAAAAACTTCGATACATCTTCCCCGAGACAGCGGCTAATTAGAGCTTCTGAAGCCCTTCGCAGACCCTTCCAAACGGCACCCCTGCCTCTTGTAAATCCCTTGAAAAGGCAAGTCAGGGCCAAGCCAAATAATGCAGGCGCGCCCTTTTTCAACCCTTCACAGAACTCTTCGGAACCGAAGCCCATATTGTTGAGCGCCCTGGTATTCGATAGGTGTTCTGTGCTATAGACAGTTCTGGCAGTGCAGGTAAAGAAGTAGCATGTCCGCATGACGCCCTGCGACAGGTTCCGCATTTGGAGGACGGGCCTGCTTTTGTGTGAGTGGAAGCTTTGGATCTACAGCGAGCAATGGCAACTTCCATGGGCTTACATGTAGGGGTGCTCTGATCACAGACCAAACTGCTTCCGATATTATCGCTGTTCATCTGTCGCTGTTGCTCTCCGCCTTGAGCAGGCTCCGATTATGGGGAGGGCTCGGAACTTCCTCAAGTTAAAACCCTAAGATGTGTGTCGGGACTGTTGATGAAACCTCTCTTGTGAGAAAGATATACTTCCCACAAGAAAGACTTGGCTCGGTGAGGAGGAGCTTGCATAATGTTGAAAAAGCTCTAAACCCTAAACCCTAAACCCTAAACCCTAAACCCTAAACCCTAAACCCTAAACCCTAAACCCTAAACCCTAAACCCTAAACCCTAAACCCTAAACCCTAAACCCTAAACCCTGAACCCTAAACAGGGCTCTTGAGAGCGAGAGGCTTGTGTACAAAAACAAGCGGTTGATCTTGCAGAGCGCTCTTGTGAGAAAGTTAGAACGCATGTGGAATCTTTGCCTCGGCTGACTTCCGTTTCGGCCTCCGATTTTCCAGTTTTGACGAAGTTACACTCCTGTAGAAAGTCTGTTGAGTGGGAACTTTGCCAACAGTCTGTGGTGGAAGGCATGACTCACTCATGACTTTGGCTTTCAACGGCCTCTGTAGTGGCTTTGAACAAAACTAGCCCAAAGGCGTGGAGACAGTCAAATGTTTGCTCCAGCACTTCGGCAGTAGTTGCAGACAAGAACTCCCAACGATTAAGTGTGTGAAAACTAAGCACACACATTGTCTTGGTTGGACTGATGGGGGGCGTGGGGCAAAAATCTGCATGGGGTCTGCGGTCGGGGGGCTGTAGACTGAAGCAGAGCGAGCCTTATTTTTTTCAAGCCCATACAAGCCCTTTCTTCCTCACCCACGAAAGGGTTCTTTCCACAAGCACACCTGTGACAGATCTGTAAGCAGGGTCCCGGGGCCGGCTTGTGGGATAGGCTGGAGGCTTAGCATGAGCATCGTTGTCGCCTCCTCCAACGTGGGGCTTGAAAATGGCAGAATCGGTCTCAGAGCTCATAATCGGCGCGGTGCGACCAAAAATGCGGGGGGCCCCCACCCCCGCCCGCACCCCCCGTCCCCTCCCAGCTCTTGCCAGGACCTCGACCGCTCCAGCAGACATCTGCAGGGACACGCTGGTCGGGTCTATTCTGTGTGTCGGTTGGATTCCCGCACACTGGCCAGCGCTAGTGAAGACAACACCCTGAAGATTTGGGACTTCACCACAGGGCACTGCCTGCACACATTGCAGGGACACACTCGTGGGGTCAATTCTGTGTGTCGGTTGGATTCCCGCACCCTGGCCAGCGCTAGTTCCGACGAGACCCTGAAGATTTGGGACTTCACCACAGGGCAATGCCTACACACATTGCAGGGACACACTCATCGGGTCTATTCTGTGTGTCGGTTGGGTTCCCGCACCCTGGCCAGCGCTAGTCAGGACCAGACCCTGAAGATTTGGGACTTCACCACAGGGCAATGCCTGCACACATTGCAGGGACACACAAAGTTCGTGTGGTCTGTGTGTCGGTTGGATTCCCGCACGTTGGCCAGCGCTAGTGAAGACAACACCCTGATGATTTGGGACTTCACCACAGGGCGATGCCGCCGATGCCTGTACACGGGGCAGGGATACACGTATCCGTTCTACTCTGTGTGTCGGTTGGATTCCCGCACGCTGGCCAGCGCTGGTGAATACCGGACCCTGAAGATTTGGGATTTCACCACAGGGCAATGCCTGCACACATTGCAGGGACACACTCATCGGGTCTATTCTGTGTGTCGGTTGGATTCCCGCACGCTGGCCAGCGCTAGTCAGGACCAGACCCTGAAGATTTGGGACATCCCCACACGGCAATGCCTGCACACATTGCAGGGACACACTGCTTCTGTCCTGTCTGTGTGTCGGTTGGATTCCCGCACGCTAGCCAGCGCTAGTGAAGACAAGATTATTGTTTGGCCGCTTGGAAGCAGCTGATGCGCGGCCGCAGTGTTGGGGCGAAGCTGCAGCCTGGTGCTCAGCTTGCATGCCCAGGTGCTCTAGGCGTCCCCACCTCCTTTCTCGCTCTGCTCCGATCACTCCCTGTTGCCCTTTACTGTAGGAGAGCTCCCAATCCCCGTGATCTGAAGTGTGCCAAGATTCCTCTGCTACTCAAAAATTGGAATGGAGGAGTGAGTCCCATCGTGACCAGGCCCATGCCCCATGCCCTCTAAAACCTTAAAGCCTCAACCCTCAACCCTCTAAACTCAACCCTCAACCCTCAACCCTCAACCCTAAACCCTCAACCCTCTACCCCCAAACCCAGCAGATCAGCTTTGGACCCTCTGAGGCGGGACTCTGGCATGGATATTGGCACTTGCCGCCTGCGCCTAAGATCTCGTTGCCCAGTTGGGTTTAAGGGTTTAGGGTTTAGGGTTTCTATCTTTTCTTTCTTGTCTGTGTGTGGGTTGGCCTTGAGCGCGCCGGTCGAGCTGTCCTTCTGACAACATTCCTCAGATAGAGAAGCTCAC